CACTGTTTCCCCATCTATTTCCCATGAAGTGATGGGACCAGATGCCATGATCTTAGTTTTCTGAATGTTGAGCTTTAAGCCAACTTTTTCACTCTCCTCTTTCACTTTCATCAAGAGGCTCTTCAGTTCTTCTTCGCTTTCTGCCATAAGAGTGGTGTCATCTGCGTATCTGAGGTTATTGATATTTCTCCTGGCAATGTTGATTCCAATTTGTGCTTCATCCAGCCCAGCATTTCGCATGATGTACTCTGCATATAAATTAAATAAGCAGCGTGACAATATACAGCCTTGATGTACTCCTTTTCCAATTTGGAACCAGTCTCTTGTTCCATGTCCAGTTCTGTTACTTCTTGACTTGCACACAGATTTTTCAGGAGGCAGGTCAGGGGGGTCTCGTATTCCCATCTCTTAAAGAATTCCCCACAATTTGTTGTGACCCACATAGTCAAAGACTGATGTAGTCCATAAAGCAGAAGTAGATGTTTTTCTGGAACTCTCTTGCTTTTTTGATGATCCAAGGGATGTCGGCAATTTGACCTCTGGTTCCTCTGCCTTTTCTAAATCCAGCTTGAACATCTTGAAGTTCATGGTTCACATACTGTTGAAGCCTGGCTTGGAGAATTTTGAGCATTACTTTGCGTGTGAGATCCCACACCTGGCACAGCCCATGTCCACCAGGATAAGGCTGGGTTTGGAGACCTGAACACTGGATTTCCCCTTCGATGGTGGCTGCCACAGCAGGAAGTTGGAGGGAGACTGGGGACCCTGGGTGAGCTGGGAGGAGGGGCTCAGGCTTTTGACTCCTGACACAAACTGTGCAAACTTCCCCGGAGGCCAAGTGGTTAGGGCTCTGTGCTCTCATGGTGGGGAGCTAGGATCCCACAAGGCATGCGGCACAGTCAATAAATAATTAACATTAAGTAAAACAAAAACTGTATGTGTGTGTTGGGTGGGGGGAAGAGTCCGCTTCCCAGCTCAGTCAGGTTGCTAGAAAAGCCAGCTCAATGAGCTGTAAGACGAAGTCCCTGTTCTCCTGTTGGCTGTCTCCCAGGGCTCTTCTGAGATTCGAGAGTCCACGACCACCACCCACACATTCCTCACCACACAGCCCTCTCCTTCTGCCTTCAAAACCTTGGAGTCCTCCTCCTACTTCACGTATTCTTCTACCTTTAAGAACCCTTATGACAAACTATGACAAAACTAGACAGTGTTTTAAAAAGCAGATAACTCACTTTGCTGACAAAGGTCTGTATAGTCAAAGCTTTAGTTTTTCCAGTGTTCATGTATGGATGTGAGATTTTCACCATAAAGAAGGCTGAGTGCCAAAGAATTGATGATTTTGAACGGTGGTGCTGGAGAAGACTCTTGAGAGTCCCTTGGACTGCAAGGAAATCCAACCAGTCAGTCCCAAAGGAAATCAACCCTGAATGTTTACTGGAAGGACTGATGCTGAAGCTGAAGCTCCAATACTTTGGCCACCTGATGAGAAGAGCCAACTCATTGGAAAGGACTCCAATGCCGGGAAAGATTGAAGGCAGGAGGAGAAGGGAATGACAGAGGACAAGATGGTTGGATGACATCACCGACTGGATGGACATGAGTTTGAGCAAGCTCCAGGAGATAGTGAAGGACAGGGAAGCCTGGCGTGGACAGGAAGCCCTACAGTCCATGGGATCATAAAGAATCACAACTTAGCCACTGAACAACAACAAAGAACCCTTATGATTCCCTAGAGCCCATCCAAACAATCCAGGACTATCTCCTTATCTAGTCAGCTGATTAGTAACCTTAATTATACCTGCTATGTACTATGAACTATTAGAATTCTCACTTAATGCCCCCAAATCCTGTGGAATCAGGCCAGTCCAGGGCAGCTTTGGCAGTTCCACTCCTGTTTAGGTTGCAGTGGCAACAGTTGTCAAGACACAGGACATAGGGGAACCCCTGGCCTCACAGGTCGAGGTGGGCACAGCAAGGGGCCTGTGAAGCCAGTGAAGCATGATCAGTGATAAAAACCAGGGCTGAAGAGATACAGGGAGTTGGGCAGGCCATTGCTGAAGGACTCAGATTCTTAACAAGGACAATGAGGCCTTGAGACTGGGATTTTAATTAGCTTCCTGGGGGCCTGGGCCACGGAATGCTCCCTTCCCTGTTCGCTCAGTAGGTGCCTAAGGCAGGAAGCAGGGGCTGTGACCTTATCCTCACACTGGAGCTGAGAAGTCGGCCCCTTCCACTCTGGACTCTGAACCTGCTGCACAAAGCATGGGGTCCACTGCGGTCTAGGCATCACCTCCCTCTTCCTTCAGCCCCCATGAGTAGAGCCTAAGGCCCGGTCAGTCCACATCCAGTGGGCCTGGCTCCCCAGGGGCCCTGGACAGCCAGGCCCAACTCAAGGTTCTTGGGAGGTCTAGGCTGTTCCTCTGCCGGGACAGTTCTTCCCACAGATTCTGGGCTCTAAAGAGCCTCTTTGGAGTCTGGCTGCTCACCACCTCCCATCTCACCGCCTCTGCCACCTTTATTTTCTGAGCGTTGGCGCGGAGTGTGGCCTGCTGAAAGCACTCTGAACATTCCCTCCTCACACCCCTCCCTGGGGCAGGTGCGCCTGCTGTAGAGGCATCTAGTCCGGGTGCCTCACCTTCTTCCTGGGCCAGGGCAAGGTGGTGCCCGTCTGTTGCCACATTCCACTCGCAGCCGCTAGACCCACACAGGTGGAGGCCTGGGGTGTCCTCATCTACTTGAGGGGTTTTGACCCGCCGGGACCCGCCCCGGGCTTGGGAGTCCACCGCCCTCCCACCCTCACCCCGCCTCACCCCGCCTCACCTTCTCCCGCCCAGCAGCGCAGGCGAGGAGCGTGGCCTACAGATTGACAGCGCAGGTCCCGCCCCCGCCCCGTCGCTAGGGCGAAGCTGCGTGATTGCCCCGGTCCCCTGCGACTTTGGCCGGAAGTGCGACCTGGCGGCGGCGACTCGTCTCCATGGAAACGCCGGAAACGTGCTCTGACCGAATGGTTCGCCGCGTCGCGGCAGCTGCGGACTTCGGTTCCGCCGGCGTCGCGGCCCGGAAGTGCGGCCTCGGAGGTGGTGAGCTGGAGGCGGCCACCGCCCGGCCTGGTGCCTGAGGAGGAGCCGGAGGTGGGGTCAGGCGAGCATCCCCCTGCAGCAGGGCCCGTGGGGAGGCCGGGGCGTGTCAGGGGAGGGGCCCCCGCGCTGGGCTCGGCGCGCTAGCCGCAGACGTGAGGGGGCGCTGCAGGACGGGGGCATGTCGCGGGCCGGGGCGCGGAGGCGGGAACCCGGCTCGGCCCGGGCCGGGGCGGGCGCAGCCGGAGCCGATCGGAGAACGGGGTGCTGGAGTCGAGGGGGCGCGAGGCAAGGCGCAGGGAACTCGAGAGGGTGCTCGGAGCAGAGGGCACGGCGTGGGTCAAGGGGCGGCAGCGAGGATGCCTGGGAGCCGCGGCTCAAGGTGGGCCTTTGTTCCGAGTCGCCCGAGGCTCCGCTGCACCTGCAGAGACCGGAGCCTGCCGGGGCGCGGGACGGAAAAGGAAGGGCCAGTCCCCACGTACTGGGGCGCGGGCTTGTGCCCGCGTCGCCCGGGCACAGGCTGAAAGTCCTTTAGGTGCGGGCGTATAAAGCCTATGCAGGGTGCTTGCGGCAGAGGTAACGGCACGTGAAGACTTGGCCTGAGTAAGGAATTGTCATGGAGACCCCAGAGCTAAGGAGGGTCCCGATCTGTTCTTAATAGATCTCAACAGGCTCCCTCTGGCTGTCGGGTGGGGAATAGACCGGGAAGTGGGGGGGCCTGGTGGAGGCATGCAAAGTGGTCCAAGGGGTCAGATACAGAGCATGAACGGCCCACAGCAAAGGAAAGTCTATTTGGACGTAAGGAGCCAGAGGGGGTGAGTCTGAGACCCCAGCAGGCTCAGAGGATTTCGAGGCCTCACCTGAACCAGCCTGGTGCAGAGTGGGCCCATCTCAGGGTTTCTCAAACTTTTGATAAAGGGGAAACTGAGGCCCAGCAAGCATGCTGCCTGTTTGACAGTGAAGTAGCTGAGCTTCTCAGATTCCCAGAGATCCCTGGGAATCGCTTCCCCTTTTCAGTGCCTGAGGGTGGGCAGTGCTGGGATTTCCAGGCTGTAGTTGGACAAGAAGTGTCCGTATTGCTCAGCCATGCTAAACCTGAGGTCTCTGCTACTCCACATGCACCCAACCAATCACACAGACCTGGGCAGTCCACAGGCCCCTCTCAATGCCACACCCATACCCTGGGTCCCATGGGTACCCCATAGGTCGCATCAAGATTTCCAGGAAGCAGGCTGCAAAGACGTGTCTCCCACTAAACGTGCTCCCCTCAGCCAGAGACCATGTATTTTCCTCCCTTCCGGCAGCATCTGCCAGGTTTCCCAGGTGGCGCTAGTGGTAAAGAACCTGCCTGCCAATACAGGAGACAAAAGAGACCCGGGTTTCATCCCTGGACTGGGAAGATCCCCTGGAGGAGGACATGGCAACCCACTCCAGTATTGTTGCCTGGAGAATCTTCCCATGGATAGAAGAGCCCGGTGGGCTGCAGTCCATGGGGTTGCAGAGTCAGACACGACTGAAGCCACTTAGTGCGCACTCAGGACACCTGCCAGCCTAATGCCCAACCTCCTCTCAACTCTTTGTGACTATGAGCACCCTTAGACCCACAGGCCATTCATGCCAGCCCCACCCCATTGAAGACCTGTGCATACACTCGATATAACCAGGTTCTGAGGCAGCAGACCTCTGGGTATGGGTCTGGGTTTGGGTTTGCAAGGGTCTTGGATGTTCCAAGGTTGAGGGCCCTGCCAAGGGGAGATGAAAAAGAAGTCCTTAGTGGTGGGAGTCTTAGTTGGCAGGGTGGGGAGGGCTGTTCTATATAGGGGCCCCTGCCCTCTTCTCCACCCTATTGGAGGAGAAGGTCGGGGAGGCCATGGATGGGAGTTAGGGGAAGAGGGGGTCAGTCAGGCAAAATAGGGGAGGCGAGCCATGGGTCTCCCCACTCTGGCAGTAAGCACGACCGGGAGGGCCGCAAAGCTTTGCTGTCCCCAGCCCTCGCCCAGCGGTGCGCTGGAGGCTGCGGGTTGGGGCAGGGGGCGGCCACATAAGTCCTGGAGGCGGGGAGGGGAGTCCTGCTGGGTCGGGAACCAGGACTTGGAGGGGCCAGGGACACTGGAGAGGGCTGGGGCTCCTGAGGCCTAGGGATGTGCGGCCCCTCGGCCCGCTGAAGGGATGGCTCACCCCCTCACCGCCCCGTCCGATGTAGATCGAGGGGAGGTCCCCCGCTCACACCTTCCGTCCCGCGCAGATGGCGGCGGCGGCGGAGGCGGTGCACCACATCCACCTGCAGAACTTCTCGCGGTCCCTGCTGGAGACCCTCAACGGGCAGCGGCTGGGCGGGCACTTCTGTGACGTGACGGTCCGCATCCGAGAGGCCTCGCTGCGCGCCCACCGATGCGTGCTGGCCGCCGGCTCGCCCTTCTTCCAGGACAAGCTTCTGCTTGGCCACTCGGAGATCCGCGTGCCGCCGGTGGTGCCCGCGCAGACGGTGCGCCAGCTCGTCGAGTTCCTCTACAGCGGCTCGCTGGTGGTGGCGCAGGGCGAGGCGCTGCAGGTGCTCACCGCCGCGTCGGTGCTGCGCATCCAGACGGTCATAGACGAGTGCACGCAGATCATCGCCCGCAAGCCGCCGACCCCGCGCTGACCGCGGCCGCGGACGACGACGACGACGAGGAGGAGGCCGACGACGAGACCGATGGCGAGGACGGCGAGGGAGGCGGCCCCGGGGAGGGCCAGGCGCCCCCCGCCTTCCCCGACTGCGCCACGGGCTTCCTGCCCGCCGCGGCGGATGGCACGCGGGAGGATCCGCCCGTGCCCGCCGGCCTCTCAGATTACAGCGGGCCCGGCAGGGACTTCCTCCGGGGGACCTCGGCCGCCGAGGACGTGTTCCCCGACGGCTACGTCTCCGCTTGGCAAGAGGGAGATCAGGGCGCCCCCGAAGGCTGTCCGGCCGAGACCCCGGCCCCTCCCGACTGCGTCCTGTCGGGGCCCCGCCCACCTGGCGTGAAGACCCCCGGGCCGCCCGTGGCGCTTTTCCCCTTCCACCTGGGAGCCCCCGGGCCGCCGGCGCAACCCCCTCCTGCGGCCTCGGGAGCGGCCCCCGCACCCCCGCCCGCCTTCTACCCAGCGCTGCAACCGGACGCAGCTCCCAGCGCGCCTCTAGGGGAGGCCCCGGCCCCAGCGGCCGCGGCCCCCTCGACCACTCCCGTGCGCGGCCCGGGTGCCGAGCCGCCCGCCTACGAGTGCAGCCACTGCCACAAGACGTTCAGCTCTCGGAAAAACTACACCAAGCACATGTTCATCCACTCGGGTGAGCCGGGGTGGGTCTCTGGGCCCCTCGATTGGCCTTTCGTGAACTGTCGATGACCCAAGGGTCAGCACAGCCTGGTTCCCCTCTCGGATTCGGGTTATGGGGCGGCCTGCTCTGTAACCCCGGGGGTTCTGTACCGGCCAGCAGGAAGGAGCACATATACTTGGGTCTTTCCCAGTGTGAGGCCGCTGGCCCTGAACGGCGGCCAGTGACCAGAGTTCAGAGGGCTCTCTGGGCGCGGCAGGGGTGGAGGAGGGGCAGCCCGGCCCTGGGCCCGGCACCAGGAAGTTTGAGGGGGGAGGTCTCGTCCCTGGAGGTGGGGGTAGACCTGAGTGGTCAGCCCCACCTGCCGCCTTCCCTGCTAGGAGGCTACCTGTTGGAGTCGTGAGTCACTGACAGGTAGTGACCCTGGTGTCACCATTAGGGTCTGGGAGAGGGGCGTCCCTGCCGGGTGGGGGGGATTCCGGGTTAATGACACTTCTGGGTGCGGAGCGGAGTCGCGGTCCGGCACAGCGCCCCGAAGCCCCTTCCCAGCTGACCTGAGCGCGCTTCCTGCCCTGTCGCCCGCAGGGGAGAAGCCCCACCAGTGTGCCGTGTGCTGGAGATCCTTCTCGCTGCGTGACTACCTGCTCAAACACATGGTCACGCACACGGGCGTGCGCGCCTTCCAGTGCGCCGTCTGCGCCAAGCGCTTCACGCAGAAAAGCTCGTTGAACGTGCACATGCGCACCCACCGGCCGGAGCGCGCGCCCTGCCCCGCCTGCGGCAAGGTCTTCTCGCACCGCGCGCTGCTGGAGCGCCACCTGGCCGCGCACCCTGCGCCCTGATGCGGGCCTGGGGCCTGGCCGCGCGCCGTGGGGTTGGCCTCGCCGCTTCGCTGGCGGCCGCGTCCACCGCCGACGTCACACCTGTCTCGGCCTCTTGGCCGCTTTCCCGTCTCCGGCCCGCGCTGTCCCCGAGCGCAGGCCCTGCTCCTGCCCACCCTGTTCCCCAGCCCCGCCTGCTTCGTTCCTCTCCTCCGGCGTACTCGGCCCTCCAAGTGGCGTCCAGTTGGGAGTGGTCAGGGACTCCACCGCCTCCGAGAACTGGATCATCGCCAGGCTGACCTAGGGCTCGGCTATGGCCACGGGCCCAGGATTCACGGCTCCGACTCCAGTTCACGCAGCGAACCCCCCCCCCCCCCCNCCCCCCCGCTCCAGGGAGTGGGGTGGGGGCTGCTCCTCTGACCCTGTGCCAGGCTACGAGGTCCCCAGCGCCCTGACCCGAGCCACCCCTCCCTCATCTGGCGCCTAGGGCATCGCCACGGACTGAGGCCCGGCCTTGAGAGCCCTGCTCTGTAATAAAGGACTGTGGGCCGTGGGGTCCAAACACAGAAGCGCGAGACCCGGCCCATGTGTGCCTCACCGGCTGTGACCATCGTGCGTGTTGGGGTGCAGCGCGCCTGGGCAGCGCGCGGCAGGATGGGCCTCTTTGCCATCTCGTGCCTCCGTTCTCTGATAGGAGACGTCTGGCTCCCTAGAGCCCTCTCTCCTGTGGAGGCGGGGTAACAGCCCCCTCTGATGAGGATCTGGAAGCCGCAACACCACCCACCCCCCACCCCGCCCAAGATGCAGATTTCGAGGCCCCTCCCCCGAGATCTTCCGGGCAGATTCTCTGGCCTTCAGGCTTCCCCTCCCGCGTCCTGGTGGCCTTGATGGTTGAACTACTCACTTTGGGGGGCAGAGGATCTTTGAGGCCAGGCGGGGTTAGGGTTAGGCGGGGACCTGAGCCCCAGAATTACTGTCCTGGCCTGCAGGGTCGCGAGTGCCGGGCTGGGCTGGGGGCGGCACAGACAACAGCGGCCGGCCCCTCGGGCTGCTCATCTGGGTTGCTGAAGATGCCAGTCAGGGTCAGCTCGAGGCTTCTCCTCGCCGGCCTCCTTCACATCGCTGGCGCAAGGCCCGGGCACCGCCTGCAAAGTATCCCGAGCAGGGGGCAGGGGTGTGTGCGTGGGGTGTGGCCTGCCGACCCACGTCGGGATCCTAGGCTCGTTTCCGCCTTCCCCCGCTGAGGCTTTCCCGCCACACCCACATTCCAGGCAAAGTTCAGCCTCCTGAACCCTGAGCCTGGTCCCCACTGATGCCAGGGGTACAGCAGAGTCAGAGCGGGGCACCTGGGTAGGGGGGTCAGGACTGGGTTTGAACTCAGGCGCTGCAACGTTCAGGGCTTACTGAGCACCTGCTGTGTCCCTGGCCCCCACGCAGCTCCCGCGGAGTCAGGTTAGGTCGATGCACAGGGAACCTCCCGGGAGGTCTGCTCACGCTGGAGCTGCCTTGCTATCGTGCCTCGCTAGAAGTTCAGAGGACTGTTTGCCTGTTTCCCAAGAGACTGGCACCCAGTGGCAGGAACGGAGGCAGAGGGGCCGGCGACACGCAGAAGAGCAGGCAGAGCCAAACACTTGGGGTTAGGAAGGCCGGAGGGCAGAGTCCTGGGGCCCGCACCGCGGTCAACAGTCCATGAGTCACGGCTCAGGGGCGGGTCTAGGGTGGAGGTGGGCACTCCTGGACATTTCCCGGAATAAGGAGCAGGTGCCATGGGGCTCTGGAGGCGACTGGTCTTCTCCTTGTTGCTGCTGCTGCTACTGCGGGGCCTGGGGCAGTCGCCATGGGTGGCGGCGGCGGCCCCGGCCCTGCGCTGGCTCCTGGGCGACCCTGCCTGCGGCGCGCTTCTCGGCCTGGCCGTGCTGGCAGGGCCCTGGCTGGGTCTCTGGACGCCGCACTGGCTGAGCCTGGCGGCCACGGCCCTACTACTGACCCTGCTGCCCGCACGGCCGCCACCCGGGCTCCGCTGGCTGCCGGCCGACCTGGCCTACACCTTCCGGATGCTCCGCCTGGGCCTTCGCACATGGGCGCGCTTGCGGCGCCGACCGCCGGACACCTTCGTGGATGCCTTTGAGCGGCACGCGCGGGCCCAGCCGGGCCGCACGATCCTAGTGTGCACCGGGCCGGGGGGCCGCGCGGTCACCTTCCGGGAGCTGGACGCCAGGGCCTGCCAGGCGGCCTGGGCCCTGAAGGCCGAGCTGGCCAGCACCGTGGGCCTGCGCGCCCGGGAGCCCACAGCCCTGCTGGTGCTGCCCTCACAGACGCTCCCCGCCCTGAGCCTGTGGCTGGGGCTGGCCAAGCTGGGCTGCCCGGTGGTCTGGATCAACCCTCACGGCCGCGGGCCGCCACTGGTGCACGCGGTGCTGAGCTCCGGGGCCCGCGTGCTGGTGGTGGACCCAGGTGAGAACCCCTGGACAAGGGGGTCGAAGGGGCTGGGCAGCGGACTGGAGAGGGAGGTGGAGGACTGCTGTCCAGGGGGTCCCAGTGGGGGCTGGCTCTTAGAACAGCCCACAACCTGCTGGCTCTTAGGACCCAAATCCAGTTGCTGGACAGAAATGCTGAGGGTACCAGAGTTTTTTGTGTTTTTTTTTCACCGTGGTTATTTGCGGGCGTTTCGCACCCCAATATCCATTACAGGTAAGGTAGGTGTGCGTCGCGGCCTCAGGGGAGCCTCGGCACGTCTCGCCCCTCCCACCGCAGGACGCCCCCCCACCCCCACCCCCTGAAGCCTCCTCTGACCCCTCTCCTAGAGCTCCGGGCGAATCTGGAGGAGGTCCTGCCCAAGCTGCAGGCGGAGAAGGTCCACTGCCTCTACCTGGGCCGCAGCTCCCCCACGCCCGGGGTGGGGGCCCTGGGCGCCGCCCTGGCCGCCGCCCCCTCAGACCCCGTGCCCGCCGACTTGCGGGCGGACATCAAGCTTCGAAGCCCAGCCCTGTTCATCTACACCTCGGGAACCACCGGTGAGCGTGCCCCGACGTCCAGGCCCGACCTCTGAACTCTCCTGCTGAACTGACCTTAAGCCTGATTTGTGCCCTCAAACTTGGCTTCTGAAACCCTCCTTGCCCCTGAATTGTGACCCCTGGCCCCGACGTTGACAGCCAGTGTTATTTGAATGGTCGATGCCAGAACCCTGCCTCTGGCCGGTGAACAGCCGCTGAAACCTTGACCTTTGGAATTAACCCGCTGAACGCAGATGAAAACCCACCCACGCTGGCCATCTTTCCAGAGCCTCAAACCCCTGAGCTTGCGAACCTGCCCTACCCGCCTCTCCCCTCTTCTCCCCAGGGCTCCCCAAGCCCGCCATCCTCACCTACGAGCGGGTGCTGCAGGTAGCAGGGATGCTGACTCTGTGTGGGGTCACAGCCGATGACGTGGTCTACACAGTCCTGCCTTTGTACCACACCATGGGGCTTGTCCTTGGAGTCCTCAGTTGCCTGGACCTTGGTAAGCCTTTCTTTCTTTGAGGTCCCCCCTCAATCCACAGGACTCCCAGCCTGGATGTCAGGGTGACAAGCCCCATAGGTTACTGAGAACCCCAGGTTCCCATCTTTGACAAGGGACCACGAAGCCCAGGGCCACCTGGACAGAAGGCTGGACACCTGGGGAGCCCTTCGTGGCTGTGGCTGTGCGAGAAGCCAGCAGCGCTGCTGTGGGTGTCGGGCATTCCTGGCAGTCAGTGTCCCAGGTGGAGCCAGTGAGGGAACCGGCAGCAAGCCTTCCTTCCGGTTGTCTCCCTAGACACCTGGCCACGAATTCAGTGAACAGACCACCTGATCGGTTTCATTGCCATTGTCGTTTCTGAAATTTTAACATGGAAAATATTGAAATATCAAAATTTCTAAAGTTTTCTACATGAATCCTCAGGTGCTCACCACCCAGCCTCAGCCACTAGCAGCATTTTGCTCTTCTGTGTTTTGTGTATCACCTCCCCTTTATTCTCAATTTTTACTCTCATTATTTCTTCAAAAATCTTAAAATCATGGGACATTTCAAACATACAGGAAAGCAGAGCAGATAGTTTGATGAAGTCTCTGAAATCCTCACCCAGCCTCAAGAATTGTTAACATGTTGCCAATTTTATTTCATAGGAACTCCCTTCTTTCAGGATTATTTTGAAGCAGATTCTAGATACTATCTTTCTCTGTAAATATTGCAGTATGCATCTCTAACATGTAAGAACTTAAAACACCTGTGACCACTGTGATTATCACACCTGCCTGAAAAATTAACAGTAACTCTTGGAAACTATCTGATGCTCACTTCATGTTAAAAATTTCCCAGGAGTTCTCTCTTAGTCCAGTGTCTAAGCCTGTGTGCTCCCACTGCAGGGGCCACAGGTTTGTTCTCTGGTCAGGAAGCTAGAGCCCACATGCTGCAACTAAGACCCAGGGCAGCCAAATAAATGATTAAATATATTTTTAAAAAATTACCCCAAATATCTTACTGTCTTTTTGCAATTCAAGTATTCTTTTTCTTTCTTTTTTTTTTTTTGTATTTAGATTATTTCCATTTTATAATTCAAGTGTTCTTTGTACTTGTTTGCTTGGTCTCTGTTCCTCTCCCTCCCACATCCCTATCAAAACTAGATAGTCCTTCTAGAGATGTTTTCATTTATTTTTAAAATAGTTTTTATTTCTTTGGCCACACCAGGTCTTAGTTGTGGCAAGCAGGACCCAGTTCCCTGACCAAGGATCAAACCGGGGTGCCTGCATCAGGAGCATACAGTCTTAGCCACTAGACCACCAGAGAAGTCCCTGTTTTATTTTTACTTTTTTTCTCTCTTTACAAGACTCACTTTCTTGCCTTTTAACTGAAGCATACTTGCTCTACAATATTGTGTTGGTTTCTGCCACACATCAACATGAATCAGCCACAGGTACACATGTGTTCCCCCCCCCCCAACCTCCCTCCCATCCCCCACCCCATCACACTCCAGGCTGTCATAGTGTTTTCACGTATTTTAAAACAGTCTTTAGGGACTTCCCTGGTGGTCCAGTGGTTGAAAATCTGCCCTTCAATGCAGGGGACTTGGGTTCAACCCCTGGGCAGGGAACTAAGATCCCACATGCTTTGAGGCATCTGAGCCTATGAGCTTCAACTAGAGCCCCAATGCCAAGCCACAGCTAAGACCCGTTGAAGCCAAAAATAAATAAATATATTAAAAAAATAAAAATAAAAGTCTTTATTGATCTGGCTGTAGCGGGTCTGAGTTGTGTCCTGCAGGGCCTTCAATGTGGTGCCTGGACTCTTCCGGCCCGTGGTCTTAGTTGCTCTGTGGCAGGTGGGAGCCCCAACCACGGATCGAACTTGTGTCCGCTGCATTGTAAGGTGGATTCTTAACCACTGGACCGCCAGAGAGGAATCCCCGTGATGTTTTTAGATTCAGTTTAATCATTCTTGGAAATAAGTTTGGTGACATGCATATGCTTCCTAATTTGTCACACCAGAGACTTCTTAAAACTGGGATCCCATCTTAGGCTAAGAAGAATTGGGACGTTTTCATTGGAAAAATCCTTATCAACCTCCCCCCTGGTCTTAGCAGCTCTTGAAGCCCTTTCCAGAATCCAAGCATTTCAGTTGGGGTTGCCAACAGAGCTGTTGCTTTCAAGGACCCAGCATCCATTTTCACAGAAAGGACATTATACTTCACCTCCGTCAAGATACAGCTTCGAAGAAGACACACACCTGCTCCCTTCCCAAGCATAGGAGCAGTCGTCCCTCTGGGTGCAGGGCTGATGATATTATCTTGCGGGGTTTTCTGAGGATTAGGGCTGAGGTAGGGAGAGTGCCATCCACAGGGCCAGCTGCAGAGGAGGGGATCAGAAAAAAAGGGAGCACATTCCTGCAGTGACTGTGAGTGCTAAGTCGCTTCAGTCATGTCTGACTCTTTGCGACCCCATGGACTGTAGCCCACCATGCTCCTCTGTCCATGGGATTCTCCAGGCAAGAATACTGGAGTGGGTTGCCATGCCCTTCTCCATGGAGTGCCTGTAGTGGCCCCTAAGATGTACTGATCCACATGTCCATCCTTCAAAACATCCATATATCCATCCAGCAACCCAGCCCCGCATCACCCATCCATCCTTCTAGCCGCTATCCATTTGCCCAGCTAGACAGGCATTCCTTAGACATTTATCACAATCATGAATGAGGGCTCACAGCCCTCATTCAGCAGGGCTAGCTTTGTACCACGCACCAAGCTTTCCACACATTCTGAAGACAGGATTTGGACTCGGGTGGAGCTGTGCTCTTCTCGTGGGGACAGTCCTGGCTGGGTCAGTGACAAAGATGAGCGTGATGCCATCCTTGGCTTCAGGGACCACAGCCAGGTGGTCAGAGCAGCTTCTCATGGCAGCTCAGAGGCCCGACCTGAAGCTCCTTCCTCTCCTCCCTTCTAGGGGTGACCTGTGTCCTGGCCCCCAAGTTCTCTGCCTCTGGCTTCTGGGACGACTGTCGGCAGCATGGTGTGACTGTGATCCAGTATGTGGGTGAGATCCTGCGGTACCTGTGCAACACACCCCAGGTGAGATGCTCAGAGCGCCCCCGAGTCATCCCAGTGAAGGTCTCAGGGAGATTCGGGCCAGGACTCACACAGTGGCCTTCGGGACAGGGGGTCCCACGTGAGGATTTCCCATCACGGCTGCTTTGAGGATCAGCTGTGCTATCTTGGGGGGGGGGGCGGGCAGGCAGTGACTTCACCTCTCTCAGCCTCAGTGTCCTCTTTGGGGAAACAGAATAATACCTCACAGGGGTGCAGCAAGAATCAAACATGTAAAGTATGGAGAGCAGGCTTGGCTCGGGATAAAGTCACTAGACCTGAGCAGGTCTCATCCTATGAATCAATGACACATGGACCCCAGGTGACTCTCTCAAGGAGTACGTGTTAGTTCCTCAGTTGAGCCCGACTCTTTGCGACCCCATGGACTGTAGCCCACCAGGCTCCTCTGTCCATGGAATACCCAGGCAAGAATAGTGGAGTGGGTGGCCATTTCCTTTTCCAGGGGTCTTCCCAACCCAGGGATCGAACCATAGTCTCCTGCACTGCAGGCCAACTCTTTACCATCTGAGCCACCAGGGGAGCCCTAATGTCCCTCCAAATAAAATCCCCAGGTAACTACTCAGGAAAACGTTCCTGGTAACTAACCCAAGTAAGGCCCCCGGATAACTCCTCAAGATGAAGCTTCAAGTCAGTCCCCCAGGTTACCTTCAGGTAAAGGCCCCCCAAGTAACTCCTCCTGCTAAGGCCTCCAGTAAACGCCCCCAGGTAAAAGCTTCAGATAACCACCCCTATATAAGACCCTAGAGGTCTCCCTTAGGTCAGACCCTATAGGAGGCCTCTGGCCACCCCTACGTATTCCTCCAGCTAAGGTTCCCAGGTATCCTCTGCAGGTAAGCCCTGCAAGTAACTCTCTCCAGGTACAGACTCCAAGTAACTACTCTAAAGTTAAGAACTCAGATCCCCTAGATACAGGTCCCCCATCACCTCCCAGGATAGCTCTCCTGGGTAAGGGCTCCTGGGCACACCCAAGGGCAGCCCCTCCTCACCCTTCTCGGGGTGTCCCTGCAGCGGCCAGAGGACCGGACACATAAAGTCCGCCTGGCGATTGGCAATGGACTCCGGGCAGAAGTGTGGGAGACCTTCCAGCGGCGCTTCGGCCCCATTCGGATCTGGGAGATGTATGGCTCCACCGAGGGCAACGTCGGCTTCATCAACTATCCAGGGCGCTGCGGGGCCCAGGGCAAGACCAGCTGCTTCCTCCAAGTGAGTTGCTGGGCGTGACAGGGCCCTGACTGGGGCCGAGCCCACCAGACCTCTGCTGACGCCTCCCACCGTCTACAGATGCTGTCCCCCTTCGAGCTGGTGCAGTACAGCCTGGAGACCGAGGAGCCTCTGAGGGACAGTCAGGGACTCTGCATCCCTGCAAGGCCAGGTACGGGGCTGGGGAACCTCCCCAGGTGTGCGAAGTGGGGAAAGCCGCGGGCTTCTCCATGGCTGGAACAAGCCATCAGAAGTCTCGAGGTGGCTGATGCCCACTGGTGGCGCCTGCAGTCCTCAGCCAGTCCCTGTGTCCCTGGTCTGTCTGCCCACGGTCTGGGACCTCCCTCTCAACTGGTCGGCTCTGCCCAGCTCCTGTGCTTCAGCCTCTGGCTCGGCTGCGTCTCTGGGTGTCCATCTGAGGTGTTAGCTTGCGCTTTCTGTGGAAGTCCCATTCTCCCAGGCATCAAGCTCCTGTCCTGAACTTTCTCTGAGGGTCTTCTCTCCTGGGGTCTAGCAAGGTCACAGTGGAATCTCTCTTCCCATCACCATTTGTGTCTCTCCCTTGTCCATCCTTGTTGGCCTTTTCCTCTTCTGAGGGGACTCTCTGATACCACCTTCCTTTCCTGTCTCTGTCTCTGGATCCGTTTCTGGGTCCTTCTCTTCTCTGGCAGAGTCCGGGCCACGGCCTGGGGGGCTCCTGACGCGCTCAGCCACAGCTAATGCTCCCTACCCCAGGGGAGGCAGGACTCCTGCTGACCCAGGTGTTGCGTCACCAACCTTTCCTGGGCTACCGCGGGCCCCGGGAGTTGTCAGAAAAGAAGCTGGTGAAGAACGTGCGGCGGACAAACGACCTTTACTACAACACCGGGGACGTGCTGGCCATGGACCACGAAGGCTTTCTCTACTTCCGCGACCGCCTCGGGGACACCTTCCGGTACCGCGGGGCTCCTCAGGGAAGGACGGGTGGATTCGGGGAGGGGCGGGGCCTCTCCTACCCGGGGGGCGGGCCTAATGACCAGGAGGTGGAGCTCGGTGGTCTGGAGGCAGGGCCCCTCCTTTCCAGAGGCGGGACCATGGAAGCGGGAAGGAGTGGGGCTTGTGGGAGGAGGCGGGGCTTCTCCTGCCCAGGGGAGGCGGGCCTAATGGACAGGAGGCGGGGCTTATAGATTCCAGAAGGGGCGGGACTTAAGAGAAGGAGGCGGGGCCTCTCCTACCCAGGGGAGGCGGGCCTAATGACCAGGAGGTGGGGCTCGGTGGTCAGGAGGCAGGGCCCCTCCTACCCCGGGTGGTCAGGGGCGGGACTTGGGGAGGAGGCAGGGCCTACCCTTTCCGGGGGGCGGTACTTACGGCCAGGAGGCGGGGCCTATCCTTTCCAGGGCCGGGTCCCTTCGTACACATTCAGGACAGGACAGGCCGGGGCCTAGGGGCCAGGAGGTGGTGCTTGGTCAGGGGCGGAGCCTCCTTTCTCGCGCCCTGATCCCAGGCACCCGCTCCAACCCCACAGGTGGAAGGGTGAGAACGTGTCCACGCGGGAAGTGGAGGGCGTGCTGTCAGTCGTGGACTTCTTGCAGGAGGTGAACGTGTACGGTGTGCCTGTGCCAGGTGCGGAGGAGTGCACAGCCGTGTGGGAGGGGCGGGGGCTTGTTCCAGGTGGGGAGCTGCCAGAGAACCCGGGAGAGGGCAGCTTGTGTACGTGCTCCCCAGGGTGTGAGGGCAAAGTGGGCATGGCCGCTGTGCAGCTGGTGCCCGGCCAGGCCTTCGACGGGCAGAGGCTGTACCAGCACGTGCGCACTTCGCTCCCAGCCTACGCTGCTCCCCATTTCATTCGAATCCAGGTGAGCTCCGGTGGCGGGAGGGGTGGGTGGGAGGCCCCGCAGGGCGGTTGCAGTCGAGGTTACAGGCTCTTCCCCCGAAGGACGCCTTGGAGATCACAGGCACGTTCAAACTGGTGAAGTCCCGGTTGGTGCGCGAGGGCTTCAACGTGAGTGTCGTAGCTGACCCCCTGTTCGTGCTGGACAACGAGGCCCAAGCCTTCCGGCCCCTGACTCCAGACATATACCGGGCAGTGTGTGAGGGAGCCTGGAGACTCTGACCTCCCATCAGCTCACAGGACATCCGAAGGCGCTTCATCCAACGCTGGTCCCCGCCTCCGCTTGTCCCCTCACCTACTCCCCAGACCCGATGAGCCTGGCCTTATCCCCAGCTTCACAAGCTGGGGTGACCCTGGCCCGCAGCAGAGTGAGAATAAACCCAGATGTGTACACGGATGTCTGTGTGGATGGGGAACAAGCCAGAGGTGAGGGATCCCCCCAGAGGGGTAGGCCTGTCTGGACAAGGCCAGGGGAGTGGCTGGAACCAGCGGCCCACTGCAGCCACTCCAGGAGGCAACAACACACCGAGTCTGCCTGTGGCCTCTGTCGGGGCTGGGCCGGGCTGCAGATGAGGACGTGGTCTCGAGGGTGTGGGGAGAAGCGCTGTGAGGGGCAATCTGACAAGGGCCAGAGGCAAGGCTTCTGGAGAACGGAGGTGATGGTATCTTGGGGCCGGAAGCACCTTCGGGGCACTGCGGGAGCCGCAGGCCGGCTGACGTCAGCAGGGGCAGCTGTGCTGGTAACAGCCCCGCTGTGGTCAGCTGCTCCTGCCATGTCTTGTGCTGGACTCTGCTCTCCAGGCATCCCTGGGCTCCTGTGCCAAACCGATACGCCCACTTCTCGGGCATGTGCCGTGCTGCAAGTGGGGTTAAGCTGTGCCCCCCCCCCCCCCCCGTGAGGCCCGGTTCAAGGGGCCCTGGCCGCTGAGGCTGTCACTGCATTTCCTCTTGAGAGAAGAGCATGTGCTGGGAACCCGGAGAACCACGTTGGGGGCAGGGGGCGCATGCTGGACAGAACCTGGGTCTGTGGGTCCCCAAGCCTGCAGCTTGGATTGACAGCTGGCCACTTCCAGGCTGGGTGGCCTGGGCAATGCCTAGAACCACCTGCCTCTCAAGCACTGGTTTCCTTCATTGTAAAATGGGACTGAGGATCGTGTCCACCTCAACAGATGTTTGTGGATATTAAAAAAAAAAGATGGAGGGCTTCCCTGGTGGCTCAGTGGTAAGGAATCCACCAGCCATTGCAGGGGACAGGGGTTTGATCCCTAGTTGGCGATCTAAGATCCCACACCACGTGCCTTGGGGGCAACACGCATACCATGACTACTGAGCCCAGGTGCCACAACTAGAGAGAAACTCACGCACCATAACAAGGACCCAGTGCAAAACAGAAAAAAAAGTCATCTCAAGGTTACATGTGGAGTTAGCATAAGGTCAATTATCACAGTTATCTTATACCTGAGATAAAGACATATGTCCACACCAACTCTTGCATAGGAATGTTCATAGCTGCATTATTCCCAGTCCCCAAACCTGCAAACAACCCAGTGTACAGACAACTTAGGAATGGATAAACCAAATGTGCTAAATGCGTAAATGGTCTATTATTAAATAGCAGCAGCAAAAAAAGAACAGCTCTGATAGATCCACAGAGACAGAAAAGAGACCAGTGATTGCCAGGGGCAGGGGGAGGAGGACTTGGGGGACTGCCAACAGGGGTGTGTGCTTTGGGTAATGTGAGAAAAAGTTCTAAACCTGTGACAATGAAGGCACAGCTCTGTGAATACCCTAAAAACCACTGCATTGTATACCAGCAAGAAGTGAATTGCATGGCACAGGGCTGTCTTCATAAAGCTGCTAAGAAATCTCTACACTGCAATTTAATGTTTTACAACGTGTGCATTTTTATTTTTTAGAATATTAAGTCTTTACCTACCTTGCTGGCTGAGTTTGTGGCGTCCCTTCAAAGTTGTGCCCCAGGCCAGCGCCCTGCTCTCCCTGCCCCGCTCTCCCCACCTGCCCCACGCTTGCTCAGCAGCTTTGGGGTGAGGTACCCTACCTGGCTATGGAGCATCTTCATCAAGTGTCGTGACACCCGTGGTGAGCAACCTGCTCCTGGGCCCAGCGTTGTAACCATCTCCTGTTCAACCAGCCCTAGGGCCACCGAGATAGCTGAACACACAACATATGGAGGTGATCTCAGCCTGGGGAGGAGAGTACCTCCCACTACACAGGGTCACGTGCCTGTGGGACCAGGGGGAGGCAGGCTTTGTAGTTAAGGGAGGCTGGGGGGCCCCTGACTCCTGCTGAGGGTGTGACTGGCTTATTGGGGTGACTGCTGGCTTGGGGGGGAATTAGTCACTTGAGGGGAGCTGTTTGACTCAGGGCTCTTACCAGGTGCAGCATGGAGGGCGGGGGAAGGGGATTTGCTAACTGCCTTTTGAGGCTCTCCTGGTGTCAGGTGTTAGGAGGCACCAGAATCAGGCCTTACTTTTAGCCTCCCTCCTACACCCGCTGGTGCGAATGTCAGACAGACTCACGACAGATTTCTGCTCTGCCAACCACTGGGTCGCCTCCAGCAGACTTAACTCGGGAGCAAAGGCCAAGGAAGGAGACGGGGCTGGAGAGAGGACCAGCTGAGGACAGAGGCTCTCGGTGGCCTCAAGGACCAGATGAGAAGGGGTGAGGGGCGAGCAGCTGGGACCGGGCGGGAAGACGCTGCCCATGGTCTCAGCCCAGAAACAGCCCAGGCGATGCTGGGGTGTGGGGTGCCCGGGAGGCTGGCTGAGGAGGCTTGGCCCAGTTACAACAGCAAGAGGCAGGGTGACCGTGCTGTGGAGCTGGCTGGGGCGAGTGGCCTAAAGCCCATGGAAGACGGTGGCAGATGTGACTCCATCATGCGCAAGGTCGCAACAACAGGGTGACACACACACACCGCTCCCCCGGGAGACTCCACAAACCCGAGCACGTGGGTGGGGCAGAGTCTGCCTGCTGTCCGTGGAGACACAGGGCTCCTGAGCTCTGCCCGCAGGATGGAAAAGGAGGGTTGGAAAAGCGAGTCCACAACGTTCTGGAGTCTCTGCTGCTGGGGGCCTTCCATCCCGAGGGAAGGCGGGCGGGGCCCATGTGTCTGGAAGACACTGATGAGTCCGCGGAGAATTTAAAAACCCCTTACCCCACCAGCTGACCCTGAGACGGGGGACTGTTCAGGATGATGCAGGTGGGCCCAGTGTCATCATGAGGGTCCATAAGAGGTGGAAAAGGAGAGCAGAGGAGAGCTCGGGCTAGCCCCCACAAGTGCTGAGTGGCCACTGCCGGCCTAGAAGGTTTTGGGGAAGGGCGGTGAGCGCGGCATGCAGGCCACCTCTAGGGTGGAAAAGTGTAGCAACGGTTCTCCCAGAGATCAGAGAAGGAAAGCAGGATCTGGACTTTAGCGCAGTGAGACTGTGTCCGCCTCCTGACCTCAGAACTGTAATCTGTTTCTTAAAACAAGAAGAAAAGGAAAAAAACAAGAACAGAAATCCCACGCTCCAGAAAACTCGCCACTCCCACTCTGCAGGAGCCTGTTTTGAAGAAACACACAGGTTGCCCGCAGAGAGTCTGCTCAGATGTGTCCTCACGGCACCGGGAGCTTCGGGGGAGGAACTGTCAGGGCCTGGTGGAAACCCAGGAAGTGGAATCTCCACCCAGGCATCATGACACATCGCATTTTCAGTAACACAGGGAGGTAGGCGGGAAGAGCAAGGCTCAGAACAACATGCAGGGACTTAACCGGCTATAAAACCCCACCCGTGTGAACACCGAGAAAAACAGTGGCATCCGCGACCACTTTCGTAAGCTTCTTTGTCCTTGGGTATATTTCAGACTTTTCTAAGTGAACAGAAACTACTTTTAAATATAAAAAATCTCCCAAGAAGGCTGCCCACCCACCCCCGCCCGCACCTCACCATCTGTGTGGCTGGGCCCTGGCCTGGCACCTTCCTCTGTGACCCCAGCACAGACCTCACCGCTGGCTGCCAGCCAGATTGTGTTATAATGAAGAAGAACCTTTGAATTCTGTCACCTGAGTCAGTCACTAGAGGAATGCTGCCTCTAAGCTTAAATTATACATAATAGCCCACCTCTGGGAGCCCTGACTCCCAGGTAGTGAGCATTTAAGCTAAAATTCCTTCCTTTAGCTCACAGGAGACCTCCTGACCACACCCACCTATAAGTGTCTACAGGGAGGAGGAAATGAACACATCTCCTCTGAACCAGGAAACGTTTGACTTGACTCCCTCCCCTTTCAGTGTAAGAGCAGCCTGGATTTAAACTCAGACAGGATGTTTCTTTGGGGCACAAGTCTCTGTTGTCTCAGTTTGCTGGCTTTTTGAACACAGGTGCTACTCCTTGCCCTAACCACTCAGGCTCTTGATTCACTGGCCTGTCAGGCAGTGAGCAGCACAAGCTTGGATGCAGTAACGAGATCACTGGTGCCCAGTTCCACCTCCAGCCTGGCTGTGCTTCCCCAGGCCTGAGTATGGTCAACCGCTCAAAGGTCCCAGAAGACTGGACATGGAGGAGGTGGGTTCCCGGGGCGAAGGCTTCTCCCACCCAGTTTCAGGCTGCAGTAAGCTCCCCCCGAACCCCGTCCATGTGTCCCCCACCTTGCCCAGTAAGGATGGTTACTGCAGCACTCAACACCCTCCTGCGACCCCTGCATGTGCCCGAGGCTGTGGGGGGCTCAATCCTTGGGCGCATGTATTTCCCTGAAATCACCTCCCACGAAATGCTCTTTTTAGAGCAGAATGGAGACCGAAGTGCACCAAGTAACAGCCCCCAAGACGTCCACGTCCTAACCCCTGGATCCGTGAATGTCACCTCACACACAAAGGGCTTGCGCAGATGAGAGCAGGAGGGTGGATGGACGTGGAAGATGTGCAACCCTGAGAAGAGGATCACCATGGTTACCAGGGACTCTGGATGCAGCCCCGAGGGCCTTACAAGGAGGAGGCAGTATGGGACCTCACTATCCACGGCGAGCACTGCTGATGTAGCAAAGGGCCACAAACCAAGGGGCACAGCAGCCTCTACAAGCCAGAAAAACCCTTACAGTGGATTCCCCCTTAGAGACTTCAGGAGGAACCAGCCCTGCTGACACCGTGATTGGGCCCAGGGAGACCCAATCCAGAGTCCCAAGAGGATACACGTGTAGGAGTAGGAAAGTACCACAGGACACTAGCCGAGACCCGAACGACTGCCCAGGACCCAGATGGGCCACCAGGGGTGACCCACTGTGCAGGCTGTGGGGACACAGCCCTGAGTCGCTGGCCCTGCAGGCCTAAGTGACATCTGTTCTTGAAGCCCATCCTTGTCCAGAAATCCTTGGAGAGAAGTTCCCTTCACATCCACTCAGGCAGGGACAACAATGCCAGCAGTGGGGTGTGCAGCCAAGGAGCGGGCAGGCTGGACGCTGGCCCGGCTCAGGGGCTGGCTGCTCGGCAGCTCCAGGGGCTGGGCGGGAGAGCAGGTGCTCTGATCCAACCAGCAGAGACCAGACATCACAATTCTTCTGCAGAAACTTGTCCAGTTTAAAACTGGAATCTGTTAAAACTCTAAAATGCACAGTGGATAAACTTCAGCTTTGCAGCTGGCTGCAGACGGAAGCGGGCCATGCTTTCCTGGGCTTCCTGGCCCGTCCACACTCAGACCACGGGCCCAGCTTCTGCAGGAGGAGCGGGAGGGGCCTGGTCACCAAGCCAAGTGGTCCCAGAGGTCGGGGGAGCCCGCACGAGGTCACCGGTGGGAGCTTGCAAGTCCCCTGGCGGCACTGGGCTGGTGAAAGCCTGGAGCCCAGCCAGGCCTCTCAGAAAGCTGGGGTAGGGGAGGCAGGAGACAGGGAGCATTAGCTCCGGGGACAGACTGAGGGAGGCAGAGGGCCCCCTAGGACTCTGACCTGCTCCAGGGTTCTGGGCGGCCTCCAGGTCTCCAGGCCACGCCAGCGCCGGGACGGGGAGGCCGCCCTTCCAGCGCTCACGGGGCCTCGGGCCGGTGGCTCTTGCGGTGGATGACCAGCTGGGACTTCCAGTCGAAGCTGTGGCCGCAGTCGGCGCAGAGGTGGCGCCGCTGGCTGGCGTGGCCCTTGCGGTGGATGACCAGCTGGGACTTCCAGCTGAAGCTGTGGCCGCACACCTCGCAGGCGTAGCCGCGCGGGCCTGGGAGCGCGCGCGGGGGCGGGCCGGCAGGTGGCTTCTCGGTGCCCAGGCCGCTGGCGTGCGCACGACGGTGGATGACGAACACTGACTTCCAGTCGAAGGCGCCGCCACACTGAGCGCACGTGTAGGGCTTGATCCTCGGCGGCGGCGGCGGGGCCTCGGGGCCGCCGGGACGGCCCTCGCTCTCATCTCCTGGGGAGCGGAGGAGGCCAGGTCACCTGGGGACCCAGCACTGTCCAGCCGGGGCACCTGGGCACCCCGCCCGCCTCCACCTGGCCCCTGCCCCACCCGCACCTGCACCCCCACCCCCACCGAGGGACCTCGAGAGGCCACTCACCCGGTCGGAGGTTTCTCCGCCCCTCGGATCCGGATCCGGTGCTCAGGGCCTCCGGCTGTGACTTCGCGCGCGACTCAGGCAGGGGGTGCGGCAACCCTGCTTGAGGTGGGGGGCCCATCAGGTGAGGGGTTTGCACGAATGAGGGGCGGGGTGGGGGGCGGCCTTGGGAAGCGCTGGGAGGCAAGGTGCGCCCAAGGGCCAGGAGGAGGAGAGGGGGCCTCACCCAGGGAGACCACCGAGCCGTACTTCTCCAGCATCGCGTCCCAGTACAGCTCCTTCTGGGACGGCTCCAGGAGCCCCCACTCCTGCAGGGACACAACCCATCACCCACAGAACTGTCTACTCTGCACCCACCAGGCCTATCCTGGCCAGAGCCTTGCTGGTCCCCTGAGGGGTGGCAGGTTACCTAAGCCTCACCTGCTGAGATGGGAACTAGTAAGCGCTGCGGATGCAGGCCTGGGAAGGGAGCTGCCTCATGGCTCACCAGTCACCCTCAGCTGCTCCACCCCAGGTTCTGGCCATGCAGAAGGAAGCTGAGGACCCCTGGATGGCCCTGGGACTGCATGTGCTGCATGGAGCAAAAGGCTAGGGGATGGTGGGGACCCCAACCACCTCTCCCCTGCCTCTGGTTTCAAGGGTAACAGAGATCCTCAGGGGAAGTGCCCAGAGCCTCAGCAAACTTGCAGGGAGACTGGGGCATCAGAGGGCAGGCACTGCCTCGCACCTCCAGACACAGCCGGGCCAAGTGTTGTTGAAATAACCGGGCTTTCAGGCTGCGGCTGGGTCCTTGGGAGCTTCTCAGTGCGGAGCGGGTTAGGAACAGTGTCACTGGGAAAGGACAAGACCCTGATGCCCGCACTCAGGACCCAAGCCCTCCAGGTGACAGGGGCTTCCATGCCCAGCTGGGTGCAGCTGAGGGCTGACCGGACTTAGAGGAAGGCCCCGGGCCATTTCCTGGCAAGAGTGTCTCCATTCTGACCTCGGGTGTGCAAGGGAGGCCAGACTGCTGGGTGGCACTCAGGCTTTCCTGCCACACTGGGGACCCTGTCCCTTCCACACAAGCACATGAGGGTTCACACCGGGTGCTGACTCAGGACTCCTGCCAACCTCCGTCTCACATCTGTAAGTGCAAAGCCCACCTCTGCCAGTTCCCATCACTCTAAACCACGTTCCCAGTTCCCTGAAACCAGAATTCTTTCCAAGCACTGTTCTGTCCCCCACACCCTGCCAGGGGTACCCTGATACCAACTCCACTTTGGGGCAGCAAAAAGGACAAGAAGCACTGGCCAAGGAGCCTGGACAACTGGCAGGACAGAGAGCAACCCCTGAGGACACCCTCTTCCCGCAGCACTCGCCAACCGGGAGCTGCTCACCTGAAGCCGGGGTGGCTGGAAGGGTGCAGGAGTCGGTTCCTGTTGTTCCACATGCTCCTTGTGGGACTGGGCTGGAGGTGGGGGGCTGGAGGATGCTAGGAAGCCAGGCAGGCAGGGGTCAGGGGCTGCTCCTGTGAGCCAGGGCAGGCAAGGAGCTGGCATTGGTGCTGTAGCCTGGGCCCTCCTCTGGCAGCAGGAAGGCGTGCTCTTTGTGTGCCAGGCACACAGCAGGCAGGCAGCCAGCCCTTCCCTCCAGCCTCCAGGGGACCCAGTCCTCGTGGGGCCTACCTCCCAGCTGGGGACGCCAGACCCGCTCCAGGAGCCCCCAGTCTCCACACAGCCTCTCCTGGACTCCCCCCTCGCACTCTCAAGGGGCCCCAGCCCTGGTGCACCCGCACCTCACCTGTCTCCTGCACGTAGCCATCAGGCTCCTCCTTCACACTGCAGCTGAGCTGGGCATTGCCCTCCATCTGGGCATCCTTTGGCCCCTCCCCAGAGGCTACCCTGAGGAGCTCCACTGTCCCTGAGGGGTGGACACCCCCCACCAACTCCTCTGTCTTCTGCGTGGCTGGGAGCACAGCTTGCTGCAGGACATGTGCTGTAATCTGAGGTGGGGGGGAGGGTCATTGGGGCACTAGTTTTACTCTGTCCCTCAGAGAAGCCACCACCACCACACTCACCCAGCCCAGCAGCTGCCCAGGGTCACGCTGCAGGTCTTCGACCAGGACAACAGCCTCCTCAGGGCTGCCTGGCTGCTGGCCTCTCACCCAGGCCTGGATCTCGGGGGGCAGAGCCCCCAGGAACTGCTCCAGCACCAGCAGGTCCAGTATCTGCTCCTTGGAGTGTGCCTCGGGCCGTAGCCACTGGCGGCACAGAAACTGCAGGCGGGACAGGGCCGCCCGGGGACCGGCCACCTCTTGGTAGCAGAAGCCCCGGAAGTGCTGCCGTGCCGTTTCGGGATCCTCTGCGGTGGCCTCAGGGTCCAGAGAGGGCAGACTCGGGGGACCCAGTGGGGATGGCATTGTGTGGGGAATGTTCTTGGAGCCACCTGTAGGAAAGAGAGGTCAGGCTGCCAGCCACACAGCCACAGTCAAGGTGAGGCAGCTGCGTGCAGACAGCCCCAGCCCGGGGGTGGTGGCGGTGGTGGTGCTGATGTCTGGGCAGAGAGGGCCCTGGTGTGGGGATGCTCGAAGCTAAACTGGGGAAAGTTTCATGGAAGGAGAGGTCACAAGAGCTGGAACTAAAAGCAGAAGGAAGCCTTGTGAACCACTTGGAGTTGGATGGAGCTTCCAGGAAACAGCTAGGAGATGATGCTGAACGCAAGGCCAGGGGAATTACCCCAGGCTTCCAGGGTCAGCCGAGGAGCCGAGAGAGGGGGAGCCAGGGTGAGAACAGGCTGCCCGTCCCCTCCATCTCCGGGTCATGTTGACTCAAGAGGGGCACCCCGAGGGGCTGGCATGCGCCACGGCCGAGGCAGGGGCCGACGTGGTCCCCGAGACACCGTGATCGTTGACACCAGACAGCTGTGCGTGACTCACGCCGTGTGAACCGTACTTGTGAAAGGCGGAAGCCAAGCAAAACAGAGCCTAGGGCTGTGTGGAGCGCTCCGCGGGCAACCGTGTCCCGGCCCTGAGGGTCCGCAGGGAGACGCGCCCACAAGGGGGGGGGGGGGGGCCTGTCTGACAGGCTGAACCGGGCCCGACCCCCACAGCTGGCCTTCCACAGACGAAGGGGAGACGGGGATCCTCCGGGAGGAAGGGACGGCGCCCCAGACAGAGGAGGAGCCAGACGATGGCTCGGGGGAGGGGCGCCCCGCGCACGTCAGGCGGCGGCTAGAGTGCCCGTGCGCCGCGCCGACCGGCGCTCACTCCGCCACCACGAGCCCCTGCAGTGAGCGGCCCCGCGCCCTTCCGCGGGCCCCCCCATCGGCCCGCCCCTCGCGCGTTGCCTCGGCGACGCGGCCCTGGCCAATCACGCGTCTGCCCCGAGGCCCCGCCCTTCCGCTGCCCCTCGGCCCGCCCCTCGCGCGTTGCCTCGGCGACACCGCCCTGGCCAATCACGCGTCTGCTCCGAGGCCCCGCCCCCTCCCGTCGGACTACGTTTCCCATGAGCCTCAGCACGTGAGCACAGGCGCGGCCTCGGAGCAGGTGCACTTTCTCGGAGTCCTCGCACAGCTGAGGGGCGCCCCGTTCCTCCGAGCGGCATCTGCGGCGCCGCGGGCTTCGGGGGGCTCCTGCCCCGTCCTGGCAGCCGCTCTCCCTTTGCACCCGCCCCGGAGGACTCACCAACTGCAGAGATGGACGGGACCTCCGGCCTTGCGCATGCGCACATCAGGCCGGTGCCTATTGGCCGAGAGGTGAGGCGGGGCGGGGCGTGACCTCTCAGCCAATCAGGCTGGCGCTCCGCCCGGGCGCTTTCCCTGCAGCCTCCTTCTGGGCGCCGGCTGTCGCCCTGGTAACCGCGGGAGCACAGCGGCCCGCCTCCCGCTATTTCCTCGGCGACCGCCGGAGCGTGGCCCTGCCCTCCCAGGCGGCCGGAAGTTTCCCAGAGACTTGCCTCTCCGAGTCCCAGGGGGAAGCAGGGATCTAACGGGAAGGCTGGCCTAACCCATGGGCGTTCTCCGCCTTCCCCAGGAATTTCTCCAGCGAGGGTGGCGCTGGGATCCGTCATTCGACTACCACTGAGCGCCCTGCGGGTGTGCGGGGACAGCAGGCACCCATCTACTAATGAGGAAACTGTCCCGTAATCTATATCCTCAGACTCTCAGACGTGCCTTCAACTCGATCAGTCCTGCAAAGAAAGGTCTCTTCCATCATCTACCGTGTGGAGAGAGCTGGAGCTTTAACAGCCTCTTCAGGAGCTTTCCCTCAGTCATGTTTGTTTGGGGGTCTACCCTTCCAGAGGGCTGCTGGTTTTCAAGCCTTCTGGATTTCTACAGCGTGAGCCTGGTGGGACCACCCTGCACGTCCGCCAGCGCCAACTCAGTATTCGACTTTTCCCCAAATCAGTACTAGCTCCTCTATTTCCACCCACTTCTAGCTTCCGTATGCCATTGCCTCCTCTTTCACGATCCTCCTACTTGCAGGTTTGTGTTTTATTTACTTACTGGCCCCACCACGCAGAATGTGGGGTCCTAGTTCCCCAACTAGGGATCGAACCCTGGGCCCCCAGCAATGGAAACTTGGAGTCCTAACCACTGGACGGCCAGGAAATTCCCAAGGGTTAGTGTTTCAAACACTGCCTGTGGTTTCAGTGGGTTTCTGGACCGAGTAAGATGCATGTAAGTAAGTCCATCATCTTGACCCAGAAAGTCCACAAAAACTTACAGTCATAACACATTCGGGGTTAAGCAGAGGGGTCAGTTTGGCAGGACACAGCCCAACATGACCACAAAGGTTTGGAGGACAACTCTGGGGCCAAGACATGGGGGCAGGGGGGGTACTTATGGTTGCTGTCCCTACAGAAACAGGGCTGGAGCCTCTGACCACCCCTCGGTACTGGGAGGGTGGACTCAAGGAGGGTGGAGGAACTGGGGTAGTAGGAGCCAACCACATGGCAAGAAAAGTTCAGTGAAGCAGGAAGGAGGCTGGACAGGGCACCAGGCCTAGTCTGAGGGTTCAGCAGGGCTCAGGGTGGAAACCAGGTTCCAGGAGCTTCTTCTGAGATGCAGCAAAGGTTGCATGTGACTGATTCTCTGGGAACCTATTTGATACTCAACAGGGTCCTACCACAGCGTTTGTAAGCTGTGGAGTTTGCCTGCATCTCACAGCCACGCCAACAAACCCTGATGTGACCTGCTCAGGGCTCCCTCATGGAGGCCAGCCTAGGGGAAGATGAGACAGAGCCAGGCCAAGGCTAGGACCAGGGCAGAGAAGTTGGGCCCAAGACGGCTGGACACTGGCTCAGAGGACCTGCCCCTGAGGAGTCTTGGGGAGCCTGGCCCTGTGTGACCCCTCTCCCTACCTCCAAGTCTCCTTTCCTTCAGACTTGTGAGGTTTCAAGGGCAGCAGCAGGTGGAGAGTTAGGGGTGTCATGTCTCTGACCTCACACCTTTGAGGTCTTGAGGTGATGGAGCTGGAGCACCCACTGGGCTGTGGTCAACCTTCTGGGTCACACGTGGCCACAGCCTCAGATTCCAGGGTCTGGACCCACAAGGGCTCATCTCCCGGCGGAGCTGCAGCCTGAGGCAGCCCCACCCCATCTGGGTCCCCAACTGCCCCGGGGACAGACAGGCTGCACCTCTACCCTGCGGCCCCTCACAGGGACCAGGCCTGAAGCCAGGGCCCTGCAGCTGTGTGACAACATGTGTGCATCACACTGAGATGAAACCCACTTCAGGCCAACTCTGTACGTTTCTAAAAAGAAACCTTTATTAGGGAGTCTCTCTGGACTCTGTATTATCAAAACCTTCTGAACCACGACCTGGAGGCTGAGGCTGCAGACCTGCACAGTGCCATGCAAGAGTTTAAAACATACCTCCAAGCCATAACTTCTAGTCTTTCCCCCCTCCGATAAATGCACCATTAACTTCCCTGGAGGTGAGACCCTGGGTGGAGATGCCCCAGGTGGAAGGCCACAAGAAGCCAACCGGGCCCCCAGCCCATTTGTCTGCCTCAGTGTCCCTACCGCGTGGGCTGTGGCACCCTGGGGAGGGGTCTCAGGAGGGCACCCCACACAGCCTCGTGGTGGCAAGTCCTCTGCCCCATGAGGGGGCACAGGCAGGCACACGGCACTGGATCCCAGAGGCAAGTGGCCCACCCGCCTCCTCTGAACCTGTTGCTGTGGCCACCTCCCGTCAGGGCAGTGGGGCTGGAGAAGCTCGGATGGCAGGACACAGGAGCTAAAGCAGGACCACAATCTGAGTGAACAAGCACAGCCGGGGAACTGGCACTCTGCACCTTGTTCCCGCAGCTCCCTGGGGACTCCCCTGTCCTGAGGGTCGGCCTCGTGCAAGGAGTCAGGCTTCACCCTCCAAGCTGGCAGGCTAAGTGTGGGGTGAAGGGGCGAGCTTTCTGCACCTCAGCCTCCTCTGGGGGGTGGGGACCCCAGCCACAGCAGCCCCTCAGCGCTGTCAGGAGAAACCTCCTCAGGCAGAGGCGGGACTGGCGGGAGCCTGCGGGGATTGCAGATTGCCGTCTGCAGCCTCAATGTTTTCTCTTCCCCGGAGGCCGGAGCTGAGGCTCAGAGCCCAGCCACTTCTCCTAAAGCCAACAGCTGCCTCCCACAAGGCCTCCTGTCCACGGGCCGGTTCCGAGGAAGTCCGGGCTGAACTGAGACCTGGAGTGGGGGATCTTCTGGCGGCAGGGGTGCAGCAGTTTCCTACAAAGCCTCCAGTTTGGGTGGAAACCTCGGAAATGTCTCCGGACCACCTCCACGCCCTCCAGCACCTCCCGTTCTGGTACCACAGTGAAGACACACATGAACCGGCAACACCCTGCTGGCCTCCCCCGTTCTTTCTGCAGCCAGACCGCTTGAGGCTGGAGGGGTGGGCTGTGGCCGACAAGCGGCAGAGCTTGTCACCAGGTGCAGGAGGAACCCCAGTGCCCGCGCCAAGCTCCTCCAGAGTGGAGGCCTCTGCGGAGGACCGGGCCTGTATGCGCGGAAGGGCCCAACCACCGGCCGGGGAAGGTCGGGCCGCGCCCTCAGGCCTCAGTGGTCCTCAGCATGGTGGCTGGGCCCGAGGTGGCGGGGCGCCCGGCCTCCCGCCCCAGTGCGCCCTCGGGCGATGCCCCTGAAGGCGGCCTGGCCGGGGGGCGTGGGCCGGCTCGGGGCCGCCGCGCCGGCTTCTCGCCGGTGTGGAGCCTCTGGTGGTGGAAGAGGGCTGGGCGTTCGCGGAAGGCGCGTCCGCAGTGCGCGCACACGAAGGGCTTCTCGCCCGTGTGGATGCGCCGGTGGCTGAGCAGCACGGCGCCTTTGGCGAAGGCCTTGCCGCAGTCCGCGCAGCGGAAGGGCCGCTCACCCGTGTGCAGCAGCCGGTGCTGCCGCAGGTTGGAGCTGTGGCTGAAGGCGCGGCCGCACTGCGCACAGGCGAAGGGCTTCTCCCCGGTGTGCACGCGCCGATGCTTGAAGAGCGACGAACCCTGGCTGAAGGCGGCCCCGCAAAGCGCACAGGCGAAGGGCTTCTCGCCAGTGTGCGTGCGCTCGTGCTGGATGAGGTGCGAGTTGCGGCAGAAGCTGCGGCCGCAGCGCGCGCACGCGTAGGGCCGGCCGCCCGCGTGGATCTTGCGGTGCTGGCTGAGGTTGGAGCGGTGGCTGAAGGCCTTGCCACACTCGGCGCAGCGGAAGGCCTTCTCAGCCGTGTGGATGCGCTGGTGCCGCACCAGCGACGAGCTGTGCCGGAAGGCCTGCCCGCAGGCCGGGCAGCTGTAGGGCGTCTCCCCGCTGTGGATGCGCTGGTGCTGCGTCAGGTGTGACGTCTGGCTGAAGGCCTTGCCGCACTGCGCACACTCGTACGGCCGCTCCCCAGTGTGTGTGCGCAGGTGCTTGAGCAGGTCGGAGCTCTTCACGAACACCTTGCTGCACGCCCTGCACTCGAAGGGCTTCTCCCCGGAGAGGAGGCCGGGCCCGGGCTGCAGTGCCTCACCCAGCTCGGTCCAGCCGGGCGGCCCGCGCCAGGCCGGGCCCATTCCTCGCGCTCCTGGAGCCCCGGGCTCGCTTGAGAAGGCTCCCCCGGGGGCGTCGCGTGCCCAGGGCTTCCGCCGCTCCGACACCCGAGACGGCTGACTGGGCGCGGGGCACTCTGCGAGGGCCTTGTCCCCAGGCGGCGGCCGCAGAGAAGAGGTCAGCCGGAGGCTCACGCTGGCATCGCCGCTGCCCGGCCCCAGCCGGAGCCTCTCCCAGTAGATCACAGACACCCCGGTGGGTTTCCTCTCCCGAGACGGGGAGATGCTGCGCCGACCCTCCGGGATCTTCCTGTGCTCACAGGCACCCGTGGTGGGGAGGACACTGGCAGTCGCCAGAAGGGAGCCATCCCCGAAAGCCCCAGGGAATGGGGCTTCTCCAGAAACATTACTGTTCTCAGCCAGAAGAGGGGAACCTGCAGGCACAGAAACGGTGGAGGACTGGGTCAGCCTGGGCGGGCCGTGCGGGTCGGCGAGGGGACCCTCAACCCCAGCGTGGATGAGGGGGAGGAACAGGGGCCTGACTCCCTTCTGTCATGGAGCTGGCCCTGGGGTTCTCCCGGGCCGCTCTGCTCCTCACACTCACCAACTCTGGTACTGACAGCCTGAGCCCTAGCACCTACTGCCTGCCTCTCCCCTGCGGGGTCAGCCCCACAAAGGCAAGACCAGAAGTGATCAGTGCAAGGTTGTGTTCCCAGGGCCTGGAATGGAGCTGGCCACCGCAAGTGCTCAAGAGACCATGTGTCCTTAAATAAATGGCCTCACGGATGAGGTAGTGAGGAAAGACAGTGAGGGTCTGAGGCCACACAAACTGGCTGAGGGTGGGACTCTGGGCAGGTCTCCCCACAGCCTGGGGGTGGCCCCAGAGCCACCCTCAAGGACGGCCAAAGTCAGAGCCTCTAGAAGAGGCTGAAGATGAACAGTCAGGCTGGCGGGAAGCCAGAGAGGACCGTGTCCTGGAAGGGAGGCGAACGAAGCCGGCTCACAGGCTGGCCTCCAGCTCCCCGAGCCCCACTCACCGCGGCAGGGCCTCCTCTGGGCATCCTGGGGCAGGGTCACGTCCACCCCACTGAGAACCCAGGGTTCCTCGCCGCACTCCAGCTGCGTGACCACATGGGGCCGGGACACAGACAGGCCTGCGGGAGAAGACGGGCGAGTGAGGGGCAGACGGAGGGGCCGGGGCTTAGCTGGACGCAGACGGCACCCTCTGTGAGGATGAGGAGGCCAAGGGCACACCCCAGGGCAGGGTCACACCTCCTCCCTCGAGCGAGGAAAACAGTGTTGGCAGCACCAGCAGGGGAGTGAGTGCTGAGACACCACAGCTAACAGGGACACTCGGCCAGCGGGCACGTGGCTGCTCCCAGGCTGCCAGGTGATGAGAGGTTAGTGCTGGCAGCCCAGCCTGGCAACAACCAAGCTCTGCATGGGGACCCAGAGCTTACCCAGCGAGGCCAGGAGGGCGAAGTTCTCCAGCATCACCCGGCGGTACAGAGACCTCTGGGCTGTATCCAGGAGCCCCCACTCCTCCTGGGAGAAGTGCACGGCCACGTCCTCAAAGGCCATCAGACCCTGCCGGAGTCGGAAGGTGGACACGATGAAGCTACGGCTGTGTGACCCAAGACCCAGCTCTCTGTCCTGAAGGCTACCTCTGCACACATCTCTCAGCTGCTACCCCCCCCCACGAAGCTCTGCAGGTGGAATGCCCCTCACCTGGCTGAGCCCCTCCGCCTTCCTTATCGGGGCCGTAGATGCCTCGTTAACCCCGCCCAGCCATCTACATGAGGAAGCCAGAGGAACCCCCAAGGGAAGCCCCTCGTGCCCACCCATTCTCCAGCCTTTGCAAACGCTCACCCACCCCAAAGGCGCCCTCGCTGCTCCTGCACAAGTAACTGCGAGCAACAGCAGCAGAGCCCCCAGGACACGCCCAGCCCTGCAGGTGTGCCTCTCCTGCTGAACGCTCCCAGCATTTCCAGGCTGCTCTTTGAACCAGAGGGCTGGCTGATCCCCTGCAGCCGCCACAGGCAAGATCCCAAGGACCTAGTGGGCACACAGAAGCCACTTCCCTCCTCCCTCCACAGTCAGACCTCCTCTATTTCCTCCTCACTCGGCTGCTGCCTCCTTTCCCTCAGCCACCTGCCAGACTTCCCCCTAGAGCCCCAGGACTGCCAGCCATTTCCATCTCCCTAAAGCCCTAAGTATCCATGCCTGTCCCTGGCTGACTCCATGAGATCCCCTCCTCCTCCGTTTGATTCCCAGGCTCAGCCTCGCTCAGGACACCAGGACACTGTCGTTGGACAGCTACAATTCCAGGTGCATGTGACACCTCCACTCTAAGATACCATAGACTCTTCCCAATTTACCCTTAAACCTGCTTTCCCTTCAAATGCCTAATTTTGTCTACAGCACCTCCTTCCCCTCTCCCCCGCTCTGTCCCACTGAGTGACAGTTGTCACTGACACAGTCCCAAGGCAAGGATGTAATCAAGGGTTTTCAATTTCAGGACCAGCTCCCAAATCCTAGCCCCACTGCCCAAGGAGGATCTGTGAAAGTGCTAGGCACCTGCATCCCGTTGGGTGCTCCGGAGGAAAACCTTAGAATGGCCCTTCCGTTGGGCACTCACGCACATCGCACTTGCTACATCAACGTATCTGCACAGAATTCTCTTCTTCACTGCCCGGACTCTGGCCGCAGCCTGCTCCCTGCACAGCGCCACCCCCTCTGCTGCCCTCCATCCAGAAAACGATGGGATACCTAAAAACTGGTGACTTAAAGCATGTCCAGTCTCCTAGAGCCCTGAGATAGTCTTAACTCCTCGGCCTGTCCTTTCGGACATATCCTCTCCTGGTCCCGCAGTTTCAGCTTCGGAAGCGCCTACACTCAGGCTTCCCTCCCAGCTTTTGCACACGGGGCACCGTCCCCTCGGAAATTCTATCCACACCTCACCCCCTTAGCTGCAAGAAGTGGGGATCCCACGCGTGCACGCCCAACCGGCCGGAACACCAGGGCCTAGGACGAAGCGCGAAGGGAAGACATCAGGTGAAGTGCCTCCCCGGCTCGGGGCTCTGGTCCCTGGAAGAGGCAAGGTGGGGTGGGGCGCCCGGGCTCTCGCTCCTCACCTGAGTCTGGTCGGGCTGCGCTGCCGCAGGCGCCGCCGCCATTGGAACCTGCAGAAAGGGCGGACGCCCAGACGCGGGACTTACTCTCCCCGTTCGTCAAGGGCGCCGCGTTGGGGCTGCGTGGAGACCAGAGAGTGCGCGGCTCGGCGGCAGCCCACGCGGCACCCGGGAAATTGAGACCAGCTGCGAGCCGTGGGCCTCCTGGCTCCGTCGCCCGCGCCTCGGGTCTCCTCCCGCGCGTCCTCGCTGCCCGCGCCTAGGGTCACAAGACCCTCCAGCCAAGCCGGCCGCGACGCTGCGCTCTCCGGCCGTCACCGGCGTGGCCGGACACCGGTAGCCAAGTGACAGTCCCAGGCGCCGGAAGTCCAATCTCGCGAGCTCTCATTGGCCCGTGGCGCGTTGCGGAGGCACGCGCAGAGACCTCGGGGGGGCGTGGCTTCCGCCTGTCTGCAGGCACGGCGGGCAGGCGGGCGGGGGGGGGGGCTGTCTCCATGGCAACGGCAAAGCGTCACCGCGAGGGACGCTGGGAAGTTGAGTAGACGGCCGTCCAGCAGTCTATTTTATTAATATTCTTTGTAAGTCCTTGTAATGCAAGAGATAGCATCCATTTTGGCGTTCAGTCATGTCCGACTCTTTAAGACCCCATGGACTGCAGCACGCCAGGCTTCCCTGGCCTTCACCATCTCCCGGAACTTGCTCAAACTCATGTCCATCGAGTCAGTGATGCCATCCAACAATCTCATCCTCTGTCGTCCCCTTCTCCTCCTGCCTTCACTCTTTCCCAGCATCAGGGTCTTTTCCAGTGAGTCAATTTTTCGCATCACATGGCCAAAGTATTGGAGCTTCAGCTTCAGCATCAGTCCTTCCAATGAATATTCAGGAGTGATTTCTTTAATATTACAATTAGTATCTGTACTTAAATTTTGCTTACCTTGAAACTGAAAAACATCTAATGTATATCTGGGTAGAACATGTTTCCTGCCGTTCTTGTACACAAAGAATACTCAAGTCCCATCTGAGGTGCACCTTGAACCCACGTGTCTGGACTACAAACCCAGTCTAAACCCATATATTGGGACTCGAACACAAGGTCTTTTTCTATTTCCTGGCTGAATGGCATAGCACGAGGGATCCCTTCAACCAAGGATCAAACCTGCACCCCCTGCAGTGAAAGCACGGAGTCTTAGCCACTGGACTGCCAAGTAAGTTCCAACCCATGCTCATTTAATTAAGATCACACACCGGGTCTCCAGACTTAATGAAGTTCAGGTTCTTTATGTCTCATCGCAGAAAGAATTCAGTGAGATACAAAAATGATAGGTAAGAAGTAGATTTATTTAGAAACACATTCCACAGATAGAATGCAGTCAGCCTCAAAAGGCCAGAACGACCATGGGAGAAACACACTCCACAGTGTGGGCCATCTCAGAAAGCGAGAGGACCCAAAACACGGAGTGATTAGTTTTTATGGGCTGGGCAACTTCATAGACTTAACGAGTGGAAGGGTTTTTCCAACTATTTGGGGAAAGGGGTGAGATTATCAGGAATTGGGCCACTGCCCAATTTTTGACCTTTTACCATTGGCCTCAGCACTGTCAACGTGCTGGTGGATGTGTCATGTAACTTCTCTGGGGCTTCTCTGCACTGGGGAGGGGCTCTACATGTACCCCCACTTCAGCTGCCTTTGGTGTTAATGGAGGCTGGGGCTGAACCGGGAGGCTCCCCGCCACGTCCCCGGGCACACGGCTTCTACCTACTACAACCAGGTGTCTTTGAAGATGTGTCACTGGGGTGGGCTCTCCAACTTTCAGGGTCCGCATGGTGGTCCTGGACTGTGAGACTGACCCCACTGGTACAGATGGCAACCCACCTCCACTCCAGGCCTCGTGGTAGCCCTCAGGCAGGTTAGCAGTCTGTGGACATCTTCGGTGGGGAGAATGATTCTGCTGACCAGTAAGGGGCAGCTGAACTGAAGGGCCTGGCAGGAATGTGTCACATGTAGAGGCTCAAGAGGGCCCATTCCCCTGACCTTCACCCAGTCCCCCTCCCTTCTCCATGTGGATGTCAAACGGATGCTCTTTTTTAACATGTATTTATTTATTTGGCTGTGTCAGGTCTTATTTGAGGCACACGGGATCTTCCCTGTGGCTTGTGGGCTCCAGAGCACGTGGGCTCAGCAGTTGTGGCACTCAGGCTTATTTGCATCTCAGCATGAGGGATCGTATTTTCCCATCCAGGGATCAAACTTGCATCCCCCACAATAGAAGGCGGGTGGTTAACCACTGGACCACTGGGGAAGTCCCAGAAGGGAGTCTTGTCAGATCTAGTCACTCCTCCAATCATGTCTTCCCAACCCCTTCCCCACCCCCATCCCCCCCAGGATAAAGGCCTAACATGAATCCTTCTCCCTTGGGACTTTGTGGTAAAGGACTTCAGGTGTCCTGCATACCCTCCTCCAAGCCTTTGCACATGCTGGTCCCTCTGAAACAGGACAGAGGGGTTCTTTTAAACAGAACCTTTAAAAGAAAGACATAGCTATGGGACATGATATGGGGCTCCCCAGGTGGCTCAGTGGTAAAGAAACTGCCTGCCAATGCAGGAGGCACTGTTTTGATCCCTGGATTAGGAAGAGCCCCTGGAGAAGGAAATGGCAACCCACTCTAGTATTCTGCCTGAAAAATTCCATGGACATGGGGTGGCAAAGAGTCGGAACTTGTTAGGCCCTAACTGCACGGGAGCTGGGAACTGACCCTCTCTGGCCAAGGGCCCCACAGAGGGTCTGCTGGCAGTGCTGGGGGAGGCTTCCTGGACAGGCTCACTCTGCTGGGGGCAACTGGAATGTCCCAGGGGCAACTCCCTTCCTAATGCTCCAGATTCTGTGACAATAAAGCCAGAAGGGTTACATCACCTTGGAGCCACGGCTGTGGCCCAGAAGGCAGAACAGAAATGGGTCACTGCCAGGATGCTGAGGAATCAGATTCTCAGTGGTGACAGCAATGTCCACGTGCCTCTGGGGACAGAGTGGGAGGGTGGGGGAGGCACTCTGTCCTCATGTGGTCCGAAAGGTCTTGTAACTTCAGGCCCTCCAGGGAAAGCACTGTGGCCAGGATCTCAAGAGTCACCTGTGTGCCCAGAGCTTACCTGAGGCGGAATCACAGGATCTGAGGGGTACAGCTTTCTGAGAATAAGGAAGCAGGTCCCTCAAACCAGGCGCATCTTAGCGTGGCCACCAGTTGGGAGATGAGCCATCTTTCTGTGCCAGGCCAGAAAAACCAGATCCCTCTAATCACCACTCCAGGCTGACAGGGGCCGGTCCACTCTACGTAGATGGGGAATGGCAGGACACAGGGAACAGGCAACAGGGTACGCCAGAGCCCAGTAGGCAAGGGCACAGGCCATGAGACCTACAGGGGCCAAACTCGTATCTGTTAACACCATGCTCAAGGTCACTGAGCAGCTGAAGCTGTCCTGAATCCTGCAGTCTTCTGAGCCATATTCCGGACAGCTGTCACCCCACCAGCAAAAGCCAGGGAGGCTCCTGTTGCCCAGGCTGGGTTCCTGGTGACTTCAGCAGTCACAACCTTCATGGCTTTCCAGGCTTGGGGCCCAGAGGCACAGCTTCGTAGAAAGGAAAGCGGGAAAGGTAAACACAGTTTCAGGATCTTCTGTTGGGTGTGTACTTCCTGGAGGAGCTAGACCTTCAGATTTCTTTGTGGAAACTTCTGCTTTTATAATTTTAGCATCTGTTTTATTTTATTTTTTGGCTGCCTTGCATGGCATGAGGGAATCTAATCTCCCTAACCAGGAATGGAACCCAAAGCCCCTGCAGTGGAAGTGCAGAGTTTTAAGCACTGGACTGCCAGGGAAGGCACAGCACTTATCTGAAGATATCTAATGCCATGTCAATCTGGAAGTCTCCCCAAGGGCTCAGCAGTAAGGAATCCACCTGCAGAACAGGAGATGCAGGAGACATGGGTTCAATCCCCGGGTCGGGAAGACAGCCGGGAGGAGGAGATGGCAACCCGCCCCAGTAGTCTTACCTGGAGAATCCCATGGACAGAGGAGACTGGAGGGCTGCAGCCCATGGAGTTACAAAGAGTCAGATACGACTGACACGACTGAGTGACTGAGCACACGCAATAGCCATGTGAGTTCAGCATGGTAGGCAGAACCACGGCTCTCCAAGAACGTCCACACCCTAATGCTCAGAACCTATTAACACGCTACCTGACGTGGCCCATAGATGGACATATTATCCAGAATTGCCTGGGTTAGTCTAGTATAATCACATGAGCCCTTGAAAGCAGAAAAACACAACACAGATATTTTAAATCTAAGAATGAAAAAAAAAATCTAAGAGCGTCCTAGGTCTGACGCTCATGTCAGCTGCTCTAAAACCAAGGCCTCAGCAGGGCTGCATTGCTTCTGGGGGGAAAAGGGGTTTCCTTGCCTGTTCTAGACTCCAGGGTCTGCCCATATTCCTTGGTTCCTGGCTTTTTCTGTCTTCAAAGCCAGCAAAGGCAACTTGAGTTTTCCTCACATGATATCACTCTGACTTGATCTCTCTCCGTCTCTATGCCTCCCTCTTCCACTATAAGGACCCTTGTTATTACGAGGTTTGCTCCCATCCTGCCAACCTCAGACAATCCAGAATGATCTCCATGTCCCAAAGTCAGCTGATTATCAACCTTATTTCCACCTACCATCTAAACGTAGTTCCCTCTTGCCCTGTAACAACATGTTCTGGACATTAAGTCCTCCACATCTTTGGCGGGGATGGTGCTTTAGTCTGCTTACCATGCATGCTCAGTCATTTCAGTTGTGTCGGACTCTTTGCGACCCTATGGACTGAGGCCCGCCAGGCTCCTCCATCCATGGGATTCTCCAGGCCAGAATACTAGAGTGGATTGCCATACCCTCCTCCAGGGGATCTTCCCAACCCAGGGATCAGACCAGCATCTCCTGCATTGCACACAGATTCTTTACCCACTGAGCCACCTGGGAAGCCCTGCTTACCATAAGTATACTTATACAAAAATTAAGCATTGCCTACTCAGCTACTTGTTA